AAAAGCAAAGCGAGAGAAGAAAAAGAGGTAGTTAAAAAGCCTCGGCCCCAGCCGAAGAAGCTTACCATCCTTAAACTTTCGGCTGAGGCCAACAGCTGCTAGCATGTTCTCTTGGAAAACGTAATGCGTATCGGGGAGCCAAGTCTCCGGGATATGCTGCATTCGACCACTCCCCCCCGGGTTCGGCAGCTTGCCGAAGATATGTTGCTGATCCAGGTTCGGATCCGCCCCGTTATCTGCGGGGGGACCTAGACTTCCCATTTCGGGATCAGGCTCGGCTAAGTACCGGGGAGCGCTGAAGACGCAAGGGTGGCCCGGATCTGTGGGTGCCCTAACCCAAATCCATTGACCTCTCCAGTCCTTGTCTGAAGAGTCGTTTGGCCACATGGTCAAGTATTGGGGCCGGGACTCAATCCGGTACCACCCAGAACCATGGCTTCCAGGCCCACTTTGAATATTTGGCACTAGCCGATGGAGCTTTCTGAAGCAGTGCAGGTTCGGCACGTACTTGAAGAACTTGCAGACCCATAAGTATGTCATCACCCTTCGGATGCTGGTGGGGGTTAGCTGACATAGGGAGATGTTGTAATGGATCAGCAAGTCTCGGACGAAAACGTCCAAAGGGAACCTCAGCCCGTACTGAAGCTGTCTCGTGTACACCCCCACATACCCCGGGGGTGGACGATGGATTCTATCGGATGCTGAGGGCATTCGGCACCAATATCCATCAGCTTCAAAAATGCCGTAATGCAACTCAATTTGCTCGGCAAATCGATATTGATCAGCGTTCTCTACCCACCATGAGTAGGGGCGATTCTTTATCATGGCCGAAACGACTTCGGCATTCTCCCATTCTGAAAACCCAGGGAGGATATCCCAAAGTACAGCGGGAACTTCATCATCCCGTCCAGAAGCGCTCGGCTCATCCGTTCTTTGAGGAGGAGCCGAGGAAAGGGGAGTCGCCCTAATCCCTTCAGCAGGGTCAGGCTCCGGCCTTTGACCATTCCAGGTCCCAATCATGTTCCTAGGATCGGGAATCGGCCTTGCTCTTCTTGGAGCACGGGCTCTACCTCTAACTCCTCTTGCCATTGATTATTTCGAAGAGAAAAGTCGAAAGAAAAGGGGAAGGAGTTCGAATTCGAAGAAAAATAAACTGAAATCAAAGGAATTTACCTTAATCTGAAGCGAAAGTTGCCGATTTACGAATTCGTAGTGGCAAGTCTCAGTTTCTAAGCTCAATGCTCGGGGAATTTGCGAAGTTTTGATGCGGGTTCTTGGTTTCTCTCTCGAAGAATTCTGGATTTGTGTTGGTGAATAAGTGAGGAGAATGACGCGCCTCTGTTTATACCTCCAGGTACGGGATACGAAGAGTCTGTGCTTTAATTTCTCTTAAATACCCACTAAGTAACCATTAAACACATGATCTTGTGATTAAACTGCCCATTATCCGTCCAACTTCCGCAATCATTAACCGTTGTTATCTCATTAATTACGGTTTAAATTCAAATTTTTGGATCAATTAAATCATTTACTTCCCTCCTTTTCTGAATTAAATCAAACCCGACCCGTCATCCTTCCAAATCGGGTCTGGGGGGCAAGTTGTTTGGGTCCAATTTAGTCAAAATTGGGCCTAAGCACTACATGATCCAATTAAAAGCCCAAGGTCAAGGTTCAACTCTCCAATTGCACAAAAGTCAAAGGTCAGCCCACAAAGTAAGCCAATTGGGCTAAAGCCCAACCTCTCCATGTATGATGAGGTATAAAAGCCATCATATTGACATATTCACAGAGCGAGATGGATATTCCAATTCATATGATCATTCTTGCATTCAGAAATATTCCACAAAAGCCTCAAGCTACAAACTCTCTTGCAGAGTGTCTTCCTTTTACACATTGTACTGACTTTAGCATCGGAGGGGCCTTCCTCGGAAACACCCCCGAGGCTAGTTTACGTGTGTTTACTGTGCAGGAAACCTTCGGCCCAACACAACTTGGACCGAATCCAGTCTTCTCCATTTCAGCGGACCTTCGGCAAGGTCCCATTGTTTTCACCCGAAACAGTACTATTAATTACTTATAAATGCAGACGATAAATGATGTTCTTTATGGAATAATATGGTGTGGACTTATAAGATATCTCAATATTCCACATCCTAATGAAGGTAAAATTCAATTTTGGTGATTTTAAAAAAATATTCTAATGTTAATCTTTATTCAGGGGTGCGTTGTATTACTTGTAGATATATACTATCTCCTTTCCTAATATAATACTCTGTAGATCTTGGTTACAATTTTTTTAATACTCCATAGCAAACTAGCATAGACTAATGAGGATAGAATGAGAGAGGGTACAAAGTAAGACAAGCGTCAAAAAAAAAAAAAAAAAAATCGAGACAGTGTAATATTAGGGTATAAGTGGAATTTATGTTTGAAAAAAATTGCCAAAAAAAAAAGTACTGATCAATCCATATAATTAATACTCCGTATTTATTTTAATTTAATAATTCTACTTTTACTTATCTAATTCAAAGAACGTTTTTAGTTTTTGCCTTTTATTTTGTCTCATGTATTTAGCTTGCAATTTAAAGATAGAATTAAAACGTATCAAAAATATATCTTGATACGTTTTCCACTGAGAGCGATTTTCTTTCTTGTTAGTTTTGCAAGAAGGCACTCAAATTACTGGCCTTTTCCCTGTTGACTTAAGAGAACAGCCAGGAATTCAGGTTTATAATATTCTTGCCTTTACATTTACTACTTCTCATTGTATGCATTGTAATGTCAACCAAATTACTGGCATTTTTCCTGTTGACTTAACAGAACAGCCAGGAATTGAGTATATATAGCTGTTAGATTGGCCATGCAGCTTCTCATAATAATAGGAAGTTGCATGACCAATGTAACATAAATTTTTAACATTGCAGTTTATATTACTTTCATTTAAATTGAGTATCAACTAACTACTTCTCATTGTATGCATTGTAATGTCAACCAAACAAGTAATAAACATAATAAAACATTAATTATAGCATTGATCAACAAGTAGAGTGTGTTTTGCATTCCTAAATAAATATTTATTATTTTTGCTTCAAAAAAAAAAATTATTATTCAAAGAAAAATGACATATTCATATCAACATCTTGGGAGCCAGTTGTTAGATATAGTATATAAGCATTTTATATCTTTTTTTAAACTGTACTGATATTGATTTAGGACTAGATCGAGATGACGACAAAAAACCATGTGCCAATTGGTGTTAATACTAATGTTTGTTTTTTCTAAATATTTTTATTTTTATCTTTTTATATACATCATTTAGGATTGTATATGTTGTTCTCTTGCTAGTAAACGTATTGTTTATACAGATTTCTAATTACATTACATTAATATTGCATTAGTATGTCATAGCTAATAATAATATTTGTTGTAATCAGGATATGTCTGCTATGCTATCAGAAAAATCACGCTCACCTTGGGGCAACAAGTTTATGTTAAACCTATTGCCAATTACTTACTCTAAACGTGATTTAGATGCTCTAGCTTGTACAGCTCGAGCTAAGGTGATAATGGATCATATGAAGCATTCAATGGAAACTCGTATATGCGACAAATTGGGAAAGCTTACATATTCACTACTTGGTTACAAGGTACAGGGTAATTACTAGGAATAATAATAAGTATGACATATTATCTATACTTTAAAAAATATACAACACTTTGACTATTAATAATATCGCCAATATTCACACTTGGACATTAGTTAATACTCCATATTTTTTTTATTTCCGTATTTTATCCTATTTTTGCTTATACATTATAAATTTATAATATGTTGCATGGGGCTTGAATAATGTACAAACACCCTTTTGTAAAACAAATGATTCCACCAAGGAGGGATTAAACTAACAAACTTTCTTTACTCTTGTGTTGCATGCAGCTTGTAAGTGATTTTTATAGCAAAATCTTTAGTAATACAAGCTTCGTTATATCGAACATGGCTGGCCCTCAAGAGGAGATTTCAATTGCTAACAACCCTGTTACATTTTTAAGAATCACATCTTCTAGTCAACCTCATGTAAGTTGTGATGTCAACTAATTTCTCTCTCCTTGAAAAGTTGAGTATTTTGTTTTTAACTTTTTTTGTGAAACAATTATCAATCTAGAAAGAATTAATATTTAGAGATAATATATTCAAAGAAAGGGAGTATAAAATGCGTGTCCTAAAGTATTTACACGTTTTTCACATAAATGACATTGTTTGGTTTCGAATTTGATGGTTTAGGCAATCACAATGCATATGGTAAGCTATGCAGGGAAGGCCGATTTGCAAATTCAAGTAGCAAAAGAAGTGATACCTGACCCTGAATTTCTAGCCACCTGCTTTGAAGATGCGTTGCTTGAAATGAAGGGAGTTGCTGCTAATAAGATGGGTTGTAAATTGTGAACACGTTAAATACTCATCCGATCATGTAATACAACTACATTGAATATCTTGAATAGACTACGAACTCTCGTTAAAGGAGAATGCAAAACTCAATAATTCTTACTCGGTATGTTATATAATATAATTTATACTCCTTGTTCAATAAATATCAAATTTGTATGGTATAACATACTTCCTTTTTATGTATCACATGTAAAAATTATTTTTAATAATTTATCCATTTACATTAAATACTCTCAACCTCATAGTACGTGGCATAAGAATGTATTGCTAAATGAGTAAAAATAAAGGAATGAATATATTTTTAATCGATTTAACAACTAATAATTGAAATTTCTTACATTAAAAGTACACACGTAAACACGTTTAATGTAAGTGATAGAATACAAATGCGATATTGATATTTCAATCATCAAGTTAAACTTTTGGTTGACTTAGCAAAATAATCTAACTTTTTGAAACTTTTAGTGTTGAATAATCGAAAAGTTAAATTATTCTAGGAGAATAGGAGAAATTATAATATTTTGTAGATCATTTGGAAAATTCAAATTCTTATATGCGGGCAATGTGACTGACACACGGCATGACCAATCATGATAGTAGTTACTTCTTTAGTGTTATGAGAGTTATTTGATTGGTGTCACAAATGTTATTTCGTCGCTGTTACAAGAGCTACCTAATTAGTGTTAAAGAGGTTACCCATTTAGTATTAGGGTTTCTTAGTGTTACTTGGGGTATCCGGTATTCGTGTTACTCCGTAATATACAAGCGGCTACAGTCTACAGATACACGATTTAGCCAACCACACACAAGACTTTGGAATTAAAAAAAAAAAAAAAAATCCGTTAAATGAGTGTAGTATTCTCATCCACTTACTTTCCCTCTCGGCCTCTCTCTCACCAGTCATCCCCTACCGCTGCCACTGCCACCGCCGGCGCCACCATTAACTCCGCCACATCACTACAAACTTGTACACACGCTATTTTCTCATTCAAGATTTAAAAAAAAAAAAAAATAAAGGAAAATGAGAGCAGGGGTAGTAGGTATTGTTCATGGAGGTCCCACTTTGACTTCTAGGTTGCGCTCTTTCCCACCTCGTCCTCTTCATGTTCGGTGCTTTTCTTCTTCCGGTATCTTTACTTTCTTTAATTTTTAATTAGTTCCCAATTATTTATGATCTTTGATACTAAATTGTAATTTCTTAATTTGCTCTGTTTACCTAGAATTAGAGGTTTGTTAATTCATAGTCTGGTTTTGTTAATCCACAATTGGGTTTTCTGGATATCTTTTTCAATGAATTGGGTATCTTTCTTTTTTAAAAAAAATAAATTTGTAATGGTTTTATTATAATATTAGATTGAATATGGTTAGGAACTTAGAATAATTTGCAATTTTGATGTGGATTTTTGGTGATAAATGTGAGAATTTAGAATCTGCTAGCGTATTCAGCATTTCTTTGATAACAATGGTGGAATAAGATTTTTGTAATTAGGCTGAAAGGATGACTTCCAATATTAATTGTAAGTTGTAACTCTATTTTGAACAATGTTACTTGGAGGGTAAATTCTATGAACAACTACCCTCATATTTAGTGATTTAATCTTCTTACATTGCAAATTCGATGTTTTGGTTGGTTCATGGAGTGGTGGATTATAAGAAATAGCGGAAAAAAAATTTAATTTAGGCTCTTGTGAGTGAAATTTATACGTGATTTAGAGTTACTTACCTAATTAGTTCTGTTATAGAATCTGAGGTGATGGGAATCTGGTTATGGGAGAAAATTTTGGACGGGCTATTGTTAACAAGTTTTCTCTTAGTGATGTGCTAATGCCTAATGGTGGATTGAAATTGATGTAGTATGTATTTCTAAGGCCAATTCGAGTTGTGTTTTCACAAAAAATAAAATAATAGTTAATTTTTTGTTACTTGCAGTAGTATTTTGATTGATAGAGCTATTTACTAGATGAGGGTCGAGCTTGATCTTGATTTACTTAAGTTTGCATTGGCTTATACAAGACTCATACGCAAAGATTTTGAGCTGGATTATCTATTAGAATAGGTTGCTAGCTTGAAGGTTCAGCAAGGGGAAACAAAAAATCAATCTTCTTCTTGTGTGATTATGATACTTGTATGCAGCATAGTGGTAGTTATTATGATTTAGCGATTTACAGTCATAATTGTGTGCAATGTACAGCTAAAAGCTTGCTTATGAACTTATATATATCTTGAAAAGCAGAGGTTAGTTGGTAGATGAAGTATTTATGGACGACATGACCTGCATTATAGTTGATTGAGTTCCGTCTTTTACCATTTTACCTGCTATCTGTTCTATGAAGTTTTATACATTTAGCTAATTTATTTATCTAATTTTTGCTCTTGGAGCTTTTCAAAAAAAAAAAAAAAGTTTTATACATTTCTGTTTTAATTATGTAAAAATATGTGCAGGCCATATATCATTTATAAAGGATGTTGCTTGCACTCAACCCCCTGAGCATCTTCATGAGCTGCTAAATGTGCTACAAACAAAGGGTATAGTTCATACAAACTCAACCATCATCTTTGAGGGATCAAGATTTCTATGGTATGGCGTGTGGTAAATTAGGAAAGTATTGTTTTTAACATCATAAACTTTTGAGTCATGGCACTATATCTAGTTAAAAACAGTGATCCGTGCATCAAATATGATTTTATCGTGGTTTTGAGTTCACTAGTACTAATTTTATTTAAATTTTTTTTTACTATTATAAAATCAGTAATCAAGATGTGTATCCATGGCTGTCTGTGGACTGTGGATAATTCGTAGTAACTCAAAACCGACAAATAGAAACCTGATATTTTCAATATGCATTAGTTAGGGGATACAAAACCCTTACATGTATAGCCATAATTGTTGTTTACATATCTGCAAAAAAAAAAATAAAATAAAAAAATAAAATAAAATAAATCTTTGGCATCAGACCTTAAAAGATTTTAGCCTTACCTTGTTTTATTGATAATAGAGCTGAACTCTTACTTTCATATGCTTCAAGCAGGTGAAACTATTGTTTCTCCAGGAGCTAGGCAGGGTTTGATTCCCCTTGTTATTCCACTATCAGAAAATTCATCAGGTTATAAGAGTTAACAACTGTTCACAATTATGTATCCTCTATCATTGAATTCTCTATGTGCTCAATGAACTATTATCTTTAACAGGTACTGTAACTGCCTTGCTGCGTTGGCCAACAGCTCCACCAGGGTAGGAAATTTGAAAACTTGTGTACCTAATTCCTTGAACTTCTTTTACAAGTTCTCGTAAACCCATTACCAACTGTTTAGACTTCCAAATCCCACACTGCAGGATGGAGATGCCAGTTGTGGAAGTACACAAACATGGAGTTTGGCTTTTGGCAAAGAATGTAATACATTATTCTGAAAGCATATGTTCACGTGCGTACGTAGACAAGTTCTAGTATCAATATTGAAGGATGATGTACTCTGTCTAGTATATGCTTTATGTCTTCCACCGTCAACATACTTTTTTGTGTCACCCATCCTAATGAGCCCCATGTTTCAAAACATGATGAATGTTTACTTTCCAATCCAGGTAAATCAATATATTCACAGAATACTTGTTGAGGAAGATGCATTGAACAGGGAAGGTGGTGATGATGTGCTTTTTGCGGCTTCTCTTGAGGCTGGAAAAAAGCTTTATAATAAGGGTGATATTGCTGAGTCGCAGACTCCTAATCTTGATGTCTATCTTCTTAAAAAGGTAAGAGGAGAAATTTGAAATTTACTTAATAACTTGACTCCTTGAACTTGTTAAATGACACCATTCTTTATTTAGGTCGGGTTGTTTCCAGATGTTTTAGAGAGAAAAGTGATGCGACATTTCGATGATGGTGATCATGTGAGCTTACTTGGATTCTATCCATATTTTTCTGCTGAATATTGCGATTGATCTGTTTTTTTGTAATACTCTTCTGTGTGACCTGAAGGTTTCAGCATTGGTGACTGGAGAATTCTATACGAAGAAAGACCTTTTCCCAGGGTTTGCACGGCCTTATGTTTTCAATTCAAAGATCTTGTTGAAGTATGCTGACTTGTACTTTAGTTGTCGATAAGCACATATTTCTACTGCTGAGTAGATAGGGTTCTTGATAGTTTGCTTATGACTTGGAAGTTATATAACCTTAAATTATTAATTTTCAGGGTTGGGCGTGTTTCAGAAGCTAAAGATGCTGCAAGGGTGGCACTGAAATCACCATGGTGGACTTTAGGTTGTCCATACCTGGTATGCATCCTTTCTTCCCCGTTATTTCCTGCATTTCCAGCTCCTTCCCAAAGTTTCCTTGCAGGTTTGGTTAGCTTGATGACCTTCTTCCCCCTTCTTAAAAAGGATTGAAATCTTTAGAATTTCTTGTCATATTTCGATTGAAAATCACTACAATTAAAGAAAGTCAAGGACGAGGATAATGGAATCACTTTCTGAACCATTTTTTCTTGTTTTGACTAAAGACTTCCGTTACTAGATTTCTTTTTTTTATGGCTTGTGATGTCTATTAATGTTGAACAGGAAGTTGCTGATATGGCACATTGGGAAGATGAACAAATAGAATACATCAAGGAGAAGGTGACAGAAGAGGGTAGGCAGGAAGATTTGAAGAAAGGAAAAGAACCAATCCAGGTATGAATGTATGATTATATAATTATAATTGGTTTTGCTAAATTCAATTTTTGGTTCGGGGAAGATGACCCCAAAAGTTTGACAGGAATTCTAGGCAACACATTTTAAGCAAACTATTTTTCAAACTTCATGTTCAGGTGGCATTGGATGAAGCCGCTTTTTTGTTGGACTTGGCTTCCATTGAAGGATCTTGGGATGAAAGTCTTGAGCGAGTTGCTGAATGCTACAAGGAAGCTGGACTAGATGAAATTGCTAGATTTGTTATGTACAGAGACTGATTATAAAACGAGGTGATGTGCTCCATTTTGTTCTGTCCAGAAATTTGCTCCATTTTCCAGTTTTGATTGCTCTTAAAGTTGATTCAACCAACCTGCCAATTGTAACTTTTTTCCTTGTATATATTACTAAAGAATTCACATTTTGAAACAATGGGAAGAGAAAGTCTTGTATAGAATCATGCAAGAAATACAATTTTTTTTTATCATATCAAGTATTATTACAACCTTTTAATTTTAAGAATTCATACTGCTTGATTATGTACATGCAACCCCTAACTTTAGTGCTTTCAATCACTAGCTTGCAACAAAAGGCTCCTTACTCAATGTTTTGGAAAAAATTTAAGAGTAGGGAGAAGGATTCAAGTCCATATACTATACTAAATCACAAGCAAGACATCCCTTTGTTTCTTCAAGGTGCTTGTGTTGCGCTGCAATGGAGCAGCTTTTGTTTTGCTGGAGCCTTTCCTCCTCCTAAAGAACAGCTTTCTGATAAAACCAAACCCACCACCCGGCTTCTTACTCGGCACAAGAGCTAATGTGCTAACTTCTTCAAGAGATTGGACCTTTAGCCCAGGAGGAGGAGGCAGAGCTTTTAACTCTGTATGGTTGACACTCTTCTTCTCTGAGCTGTCTTCATAACATTCTTCTTCTTCAGTTCTAAGATTCTTGAGACCATCTGTTTGATCACCAGTGTCCTCCAACATACGATCACGGAGAGTAGAGCGTTGTATGGCTAAACTCTTGTTATCAATCGATGAGGAATTCTGAATCTTTAATGTATTAGTATCAGGAGAGGAAAGCTCATCAAATTGTGTTGCATCTGGTGTTGGAAATGCCTTGAGTTGCTTGGCCAAATTTTGAATTGTTTCCTGCCATTAAAACATATATCAGCCAGTAGTGACAACTACCAAGGCTAGAAGAGGGGGGGGGGGTCTTTTTAGACGTTTTTAACTTTAGTATACACATGTTGGAAAGAGTCAATGCAAGATAAAGGGGAGCTTATGAGTTATGAGATGGACTGCATGTTCGTTATCCCAGCCTATGCTCATACTCTGAAACTTTAGCATATGAAGTACGGAGTAATTATTGTTCTCAGTACCTTCTCTACTTGATTTGTGTCATTCTCTGGAAACTCCTCTTTTGAGAGCCTGAACCTGCAGTCACACGCCCTATAGTCTGATCAATTATACATACATAAAACATACACAGATACGTACAATGCATGCATACATGTGCTGTGTGTGAGCATCTGTGTGTGATCTATATCATGAATTTCCTTAAGTTTTTCAGGCTTTCACTAGTTCCTCAGAAGCTAAATGATTCCAAAGGGAAGAGGGCAAGGGGGGAAGATTCCTCTTACGTTTCCAACTGAAGCTGAAGCTCGAGGCATGTTGTCTCCAATTCTTCACAGCAATTATTCTTATCCTCCAACTCTACCTCTAAGGATGATAATTTGTGGAGTATCTCGTTTTGTTTGGCTTTTGCAACAGTAAGCTGTGTATCAAGATCTTCATTAATCAACCTCTCATTTTCTACTTGTTCCTCAGTAAGGCCTTTTGATTCCTTGAGAGATTCTAGCTCTCTTTCTAGGCTATCAATGGTTTGCTTTGATTCTTGAAGTTGGTTTCCTAGAGATACCTTTTCTTCAATCACACTTTGTAGCTTCTCCTTCACTTGTCTGTTCTCATCTTGCATTGCTGATTGAATTGCTATCATCTGAGCAAGTGTATCATGACGATTAAGAGAGCCAACCACCATTCGGTTGTCACTTTTTGATCTGTCAACACTGAAACGTTTTCTTATCTTTTCACTCTCGAATGAAGCATCTGTTACATTCTGACCTTTGGTGTCTTCCACTGAGATACTGTTGCTTAAAAAGCTTGCAAGAGTTGAACTCTCTGAGGGAGTAGAATCTAAAGATTTCCATGTCAAAAGACCACAAATATCTGAGCTGTGATTATCATTTTTCTGCAGATTATCGTAACCCAAAGCAATCATAATGTCTTGCAAAAGCTCACCCATATTTCTTTTTGAAACTCGATGTTCTTCCAAGATCACCTTTAAGATCTTATCCAGCCAAGAATCCTCCTGTCTAAGCAACCCTTTTTCCTTGTTGCTCATATTATCTACAGAAACTGGAACAATTTCTTTACTGGTTGATTGTAACTCCTTCCCTGAACCTTGTGTATCCGTGCTTACTATAGCATATTTCTCCATTTCTGGCTCATTCTTGATTTTCTCTTGTCTAAACTGTTCGAGTTCTGCTAGTAAAGCATTAGCCCATGATTCAGAATCACAAACTTCATCATAATTGCTGAGGCCAAGATCAGATATAGCCAACTGCATCGAGTTTTCAGCTTCTGAAAGCTCGTTCAGTTGTGCTTTAAGTTCTGCTACTTTAGATGCCATCTGACCATATTTGACTCTCCAAGACCGAAGCTCTCCGTTACTTAAAGCCAGCATCTCTTTCAACATCTTGTTTTCCTCTTCCATGTTGAATGCCCTGTCAATGAGAAAAGTTGTTCCCCTGCCAGATTTTTCAGGAGAATCCCCACCCTCAGATTTGACCTCTTTGTATTCAATGGAGCAATTAGACCTTGAAGCCTTTTTCTAACTAGATTGCGTAGCTCCTGACATTCGGCCTCTAACTTCTTTACTAGCTTTGCATTCTCCAACTCTGATCTACGGCTGTTTTTCCATTCCTCATTTTGCAATTCCAGCTCCTTCTCCATCATGTGGAACTCATACTTCAGAAGCGTATTCTCTTTCTCAGCTGAATCTAACCTGTCCATCAGCATGCCGAATTCAGCTTCCAGCTCCTCTTTTCCCTTATCAAGATCTTGGACCAACTTCTCTTTGTAGAGAAGGGCCTTCATCAAATTGGCATTTTCAGCTGATAAATTTACCATCTTTTTGTTAGCTTCGCCTAATTTACCATCCAACTTCCTCTTTTCCTTCTCAAAATCCACCAACACCTTCTGCCCATCTCGGAGAGACTCTATCTCCTGCATGCAGTCCTTCAATGCACCATTGAGATTAGCTAATTTTTGCTCGGCTGGTTCTCCTTGCTGCAGCGCTTTGTGTAGCTCTTGCTTGAAGTATGCTGCCTCCGCTGCTGCCATCTTTTGACCTGTGATACGATATTAGTAACAATTGGACTTCTTAACCAGACATACACCAGAAGACTGTAAAACCTCGCTATCTACCTGCTAGTGCTTGTTCTGCTATTCGTGCGTGCATTCTGATTAGTTCATCCTTAGCATTACAGTCACAGATGACCGAGGCTGATTTGTCACTGATATTACTCGTGCATTTCACAGGTCCTACTCTCTCTTCACCCTGCAGTCAATATACCAACAAAAATCAAAACTAATGCATTTACTTGCACATTCAATTATACTGAAGGATATGCTTAGATTGACAGAATATATTAGCTGCATATTCATAATGACTTTGGTTCAGTCACACTTTATATAACAATCACATAAATCTAGAATGGCATGAAAAATATCTATACACTAAAACATTCTGTTGAGCTCAGAAACTATTCACAATATCCAACATATATAAAATCAGGCAAAATTGCATTACCTCTTCTACATTTCCTTCCACAGACAGACTAGCACTTCCATCATCAACTACAGTCTTTTCCGACGATTTCCTCCGCCAACGCCACGACTTGTTCTCCATGGCTTCTAATAACACTCAAAGAAGAGCTACTGCACTAGTACATTGTCAAAACAACCTGAAAAACAAGTAAATATCATAATCTATCACTTTTCTTCACAACATTATACCAGCTGCTAAAAAAGCACCAAGATAACTCATTTCATTACATAACCTTTCATAATAATGAAGGAAGACTAATGATGATGAATTGAAACACACGGAAGTAAATTCATACCCTCAACTAATCATGATTTGGGTTTTTGATTAATAATAATAATAGCAAACTTATTAAACCACACATGTCATACCATATGATTCAACAAAGACATTATAAAAACTATAATATATACACATAATATAAGATAAACTAACCAAATTTGGTTGATGATTTTAGCAGGAAAATGGGAAATCTCACCGACAAGCAAGAAATCAAAGGAGAAGTAATAATGTTGTGGGGAGAAAGGGGCCAATGAAGAAGGTGAGTGGAGAAAAGCACGCATGGGTCCGTTGAAAAAGCAGAGAAATAACCGGTGATTAAGGAAACAGACAGTGGAATGACTGTGTTTTTTACTTTTTTGACTACATTATTACATTGGATTCTACTGTATGTTGTGCTACTGTTGTACTATCTTTCTGCTACTGTCTGCTAAAGAGTTGAACATGTTACACCTTTAGAAGGTACAAGGTATATATGGTGATTAACTGATTAATTTTCTTGGGGAAATTAGATCATCTACATCACTACATGTGATATGACCGTTAGACGTATGGATTAAAGTAACTAGCATATGTTACAATTGAAGGTTGGTTTACTAGTGCTTGAGCTTGTTCGACAAAAGTAGTTGTTGTAATATATGTTAGCTGCTAAATTTGGATGTATGTCTTTTATGCTAAGCACGATGAATGCATATGTTTTGGAAGATGACATTTATTAAGCACATGTTTCTTTGATGGTGAGTTTGCTCATTATGGTTAGCCTTTTAAGGCAGTGTTCATAGCCAAAAGTACAAACAAGCACATTAGTGATGTATATCATAGACTTGTAGAGAGTAAAAATGTATATAAACAAATTTTGTTTTATCAATTAATACTTCAAAATTGGACGAGCCATTAAGAATAATATTCATTCCTTTTGTCATAAAATTCTTCATATTTGCTTTATACGCAATTAATTTTAAATACATTGTATACACTTTATTCTCATCCGTCAACTCCACCAATGAACCAACATCAATTATGGCTAGTTGGCTACTACCCCATGGCCATTAGTGCATCCCACCAATTCATGATCATCGGAATTTATAAGTGTCACCAACATAAAATTTAAGGTCTTTATTCCAACTTATTACCACAAACCACCATTAAAGGCAAAGCTTCAAGATTTGAACAACCCACCAATCCACCATATATCAAAAATTCAAAATAAATGATCCAGCTAATCTATATTTAATGATTAAAGTTGTTCTTTTAAGCTATAATAACATGCAATCACTTCTTTATCCTAACTAACTTAACATTTACTAATTTACTATAATTGGCATGTTACATCACTTACATGCATGTACGAAAACATTACTAATTAGTTGGTACAATAATAATTATAATAACGAAAAAATAATAATAAAAAAAAGAACATACCTTGTTATGCCTCTTAGTTTAGGTGTTGATCTTCATTCTTCTTCCTCCTTTATTTGGTCAAATTCCTTCTTTTATTTTCTTTTTTGGGTTATGTATTTAATTTCCATCTTTTCAAATTCTGGTTTTTATAGTTCAATCATGTAGTTTTTACTCATTTCGTTTTGTGATTGTCATTCATTGTTAGTTAAATGAAGTATAAAAGGGATGATCTAGAATTTGGTTATTGTGTCTTTGTCTCTTGATTGGATTAACACTCCCCTGCCTAAGCAAAGATGCCACATACTAAATTCTAGTTGGTGGACTCAAAGTCCTCCATGTGGCCACTAATTGTAAATCAAAATGTTTTTCTTTTTAATGAAGTTTGACATACATAATTTTATTTAGGTACCTAAATTTTTGGTAACTTTATTTGGATATCCTAAATTATATAAGCGATTCCACCTTGAGTGTTCGCTTTAATATTTTATATTTTCGTTACATTATTTTGTCATCTGTTATTTAACTATTTTTTTTTAAAAAAAAAAAACTTAAAATGTCTTTTGAATTAAAAAAATAATTAGGCTTTGTTTCTTGACCTACAAAAATACCAAGTAAAAATATATTTCAATAAGTTCAGTCTCAATAAATTCAATTCAGTTTTGATGAATTCAAACTCCACAAACATTTTTCTAGCTAAAGATCATTGCATCTTGTATTCACACTATTGACACAAAGTATGTTAGGATTAAAGACTCCATCAACTCTTCATCCACACGCATTTATTTTCCAACCTTAACCTTTGCACAAATTTAAACTCAAACACCTGTGGTACATTGACACCTTATAACCTACACCTTTATGATTACTCGTGTTGAGTACAAGTGTACTCAAATTACAAAATACGTAGTATTATTCTACTCGTTAATTGTTAGCATTAACATACGGAGTATTGCACATCATACTCTCGGGTTCAAAAGCTGAAAAGCGTATAAAACATAGAAAATACAGCAGTACCTTACACGGCTACACCCAAATTAAACAAGAGTCCTATAAAAACAACGCGTAGAAATATTTATTTCTTTATTTATACATTTCATTTTCATCGCAAAGTACGTGGTTTGTTCAGTTACAATTGAGGGGTATAAACGACATTTCAGCATTAATCACGATAATAGTCGGTGTTTTTTTTTTCTCCATCAGATAACCAGATATTCTTATCCACCCTAACTTCTCTATATTACCGCCTTTACCGGTCACCCGAACTACAAAACTTAGGGACAAAACCGGCAATTTCCCTCCCAAAATATTCTCTCTCCTCTAATCATCACCTCATTTCCCCCTTTTCCCCAAATATTCATCCGATTCATCTTTCGTCGGAACCCTAGATTTTCTCTCTCTTCAATGGAGATTTCTCCGGCAACGTCGGCATCTGCCTCGTACGATTCTCAGATCCGAAGTTCGAATTCCGAAGATGCGTCGTCTAATGAGTTGACTGATTCGAATGATGTTTCAATCGAAGAAGAAAGAGATGGTAATTCTACGGCGGCGCCGGAGAATTTTTCGGCGTCTTCTTCGCCGCCGTCTTCGGTTGCTGTGAATAAATCGTACGATGATGATGACGAAGAAGAAGATGTTTGTCGGATTTGTCGAAATCCAGGCGATGCGGATAATCCATTGAGGTATCCGTGTGCTTGTAGCGGAAGTATTAAATTTGTTCATCAGGATTGTCTTCTTCAGTGGCTTAATCATAGTAATGCTCGTCAGTGCGAGGTTTCAGCTCTTTCTTCTTCTTTTTAATTATCTCTGATTTTTTTTATAATTTCTATTTTTGTTGACTATGAATTGATAATTCGTGGAGAAATTGATCGAATTTTGTGGTGTTTGATGCTTCTTTGAGTTTAGAAATGTTGATTATCTTAGAAATTGGGGCAAGATTTAATCTTGTAATTATTGTAGAATTGTCATATATATATTAACAGTAAGAAAATTAGGATTTAGTAGGTTTTACCAATTTTTGAAGAGAAAGAGGGGAGTGGTAGTAATTGAGCATGTGCAAGTAATTTGAATTTAGTGCTTTAGAATTAGGGTTTTTCAAGAGAGGTGATCACATCGTTTTTATGTCTTTATTTTTTTTTTGTGTGAATGGTATTGTCACACTATGATGATGGTCAAGGAGTTCTGGTTTTGTAAGTTGAATTTAACGGTGAAGTTGTGGTGATTATCAATCATGCTGCTGCAATGAAGCTGACTAGTCTGTGAGGGTCTTGTACCATATATACAGTCATTTATCTTTATTGAAAGGACTTAGTCTGTTTAAGCAATTGCTATAAATAACGACTGCAAACATTATATGTTATATGTCGTCTTGTTGAGGTGAGGTCTAGGGAGATCTAGTTGTATGCAGCCTTAGCTCAAGTAGTCCAAAATTGCTCCATATTAGAGAGGTCAATTTGCTTCAGTTGTTCATGAATTTGGCTCCTGTGGTACTATATTATAAAACTATTATTTTTGTAGTAATTATCTTCTGAAAGTTAATTGTTAAAATGCATGTAGTTTTCATTCTATGATAACTAATAAAACTATCTTTTCATAGTAATTATCTTCTGAAAGTTAATTGTTAAAAATCTTAAAATGCATGTCGTGTTCATTCTATGATAGCTTATAGAACTTAAATCTGCGATATATGTTTTTTTTTCTTTCTTTTTTCGTTTATCTGATGACAATGTCTTGAATGTCTGCAGGTGTGCAAGCATGCATTTGCATTTTCTCCTGTTTATGCTGAGAACGCTCCAACTAGACTTCCTTTCCGGGAGTTTGTTCTTGGGATAGGGAAGAAGACCTGTCATGTTCTGAAATTCTTTTTACGTCTTGGTTTTGTGCTATCTGTTTGGCTTCTGATTATCCCTTTCATCACTTTCTGGATTTGGCGACTGGCTTTTGTTCGTAGTTTTTCTGAAGCCAATCGTTTATTCCTCAGTCATATGTCATTTACCGTTATTCTTACCGATTGTCTGCATGGATTTCTTCTCTCGGCAAGCATTGTGTTTATTTTTCTTGGGGCTACATCTTTGAGAGATTATTTTAGACATGTACGAGAAGCTCAAGGGCAAGATGCCGATAGAGAGGATGAAGGGGATAGGAATGGGGCCAGAGCTGTGAGAAGGCCTCTTGGACAGGTAAATAGAAATTTGCTTGCTGATGGCAATGTGGATGATGTTGGTGAAGCTGCTCAAGTAATTGCTGGAGCTAATCAATTGATCAGACGGGCAGAAAACGTTGCTGCTCAATGGGAGAGGCATGCTGCCCGGCTTGAAGTTCATGTTGATCAGATTTTTGATGGGCTGGATGATGCAGATGGTGCAGAAGATGTTCCCTTTGATGAGCTTGTGGGCATGCAGGGTCCTGTTTTCCATTTGGTTGAGAATGCTTTTACTGTGAGTATCTACTTATTTTTTGCTGAATTTTTTTACCCTAGCCCCAAATTCCCATATGCACTCAGAACTGAAATTGAAATAAATAATTTGGCATTATATAATAGGGTTAGAGGTAAACTGCTGATGTTGATACTGCTTAACCTTTTGAGCATAAAGTATTTGATTGAATTTTGTTCTGTATGGCTCTGGACATTAGACTCTTTGGGACATGTCAGCTAGGACATTTTATGAGAAAGTACTGTGAGTGAAGGACTTTCTGTTGAATTTCTTTCTGGTTCATGATATCTGTAGATGTTTAAGGATGGCTTGTATACTGTTTAAACTTAAAAAATCTCAGATACATGATGTTTGTAAGATGTGCTCATTCAAGTGTTTGTTTTATGGAGTTACACTATTTTAAATATACTACCCAAAAGTACCAGCTCAAGAATATTTATATTGTCTTTTGATATTGTAGTTTTTTTTTTTAAATAAAATACAGTTGCTATCTTGCTGTTATCTTTAGTATTAGAGCATGTTAGCATTACACCATATAGAGATAGACTGATAGAGCATAATGTTTACTTTGTTAGCTAAAACATTAAACAGTACTTAATTCTCCATGTTTTGTAACTTAACATTTATCTATTATTTGAAACCTTCAAGTTGGTTGGAAATTTGCATTGCCTTATTCTGTGTAAATAGGAGCTATATTTCAATATTTGATCTGGTTCACATGGATGAGTACACATGCACAGCTTATTTGAAGTTTAGTTCAGGGACTTATTTTGATGCGATGTAATATCAGACATTATGACTTCATGTTATTATGTAGTATTAGTGCTTAAAATTGTTGCGTGATAACACAGGCTAGTTACTTCATCTAAATGTCTCATTAACTGTATTTTTTATTTGCTATGAAATACTAGATGCTTGGCATGCTTAGGTCCAGAGGTCCAGTAGAAATAGCCTCTCTGGGCCTTCCCAAACTGACGAGGGTGCCTCTTTGGAGGCATTAAATATTGTGCTCTCTTTGTTAATTCTGGCTTCTTTGTTTTGCTTTGGCTGCAGGTTTTGGCAAGCAACATGATCTTTCTTGGAGTTGTTATATTTGCTCCTTTCTCTCTTGGACGTGTAATATTACATTATATATCATGGCTTTTCTCTTCTGCAACTTATCCAGTACTTTCCACAGTCATGCCACTTACAGAATCAGCTCTTTCCTTGGCTAATATTACCTTGAAGAATGCCTTGACAACTGTCACTAATCTGTCTTCTGAAAAATCTGAAAGCCTAATTGATAATGTGGCTGAAATTTTGAGTACAAATGCAAGTGAGCTGAATGTTTCTCCGAACAACATTAGCTCCCCTCTGACCTCAGATGTCCTGAAAGGTGTGACTGCTGGAACATCCAAGCTTTCTGATGTTACGACACTGGTTGTTGGATACATGTTTATTTTCTCCCTCATCTTTCTTTACTTTGGCATGGTTGCATTAATTAAGTATACCAAAGGTGAGCCTTTAACTATGGGAAGGTTCCATGGTATTGCTTCAGCAGCAGAGAATATTCCTTCCCTTTTACGGCAGTTCTTCGCAGGCATGAGACACTTAATGACTATGATCAAGGTTGCATTCCTTCTTGTTATTGAACTTGGAGTTTTCCCTTTGATGTGTGGCTGGTGGCTGGATATTTGCACAATCAGGATGTTTGGAAAATCGATGGCGCAAAGAGTTGAATTTTTTTCAGTCTCTCCATTGGCTAGTTCTTTGGTTCATTGGGTTGTTGGGATATTCTACATGCTGCAGATCAGCATCTTTGTCAGCCTTCTTCGAGGGGTATTCTACCCTTTCCTTGAGATGTTCTTAATGTTTCATAAAAATTTCTTTTCTTATATGTATTGATTTCCTCCTTGTTTTGATAGGTTTTGCGTAGTGGAGTCCTTTATTTCCTTCGAGATCCAGCTGATCCTAACTACAATCCATTTCGCGATCTTATTGACGATCCTGTTCACAAACATGCTCGTAGAGTTTTGCTCTCTGTAGCTGTATATGGCAGTTTGATTGTGATGCTGGTTTTCCTTCCTGTAAAGCTTGCAATGCGGATGGCGCCCTCCATATTTCCACTTGATATTTCGTACGACCACTTTCTATGCTTAATAGGCTGTTAATGTTCATCATTGTGATTTTCAGTTCGACCTGTGAATTCTCATTTGCTAATATGCTATTTACATTCTGGTATCTTTCAGAGTTGCAGATCCATTTACTGAGATACCTGCTGACATACTGTTGTTTCAAATCTGCATTCCCTTTGCCATTGAGCATTTCAAACTAAGAACAACAATTAAGTCTCTTCTTCGGTATTGGTTCACTGCTGTTGGCTGGACACTTGGTTTGACAGATTTTTTACTTCCAAAGTCTGATGAAGCTGGTAATCAAGATAATGGCAATGATGAAGCAGTTAGGCAGGACAGATTACGTGGTCTGCAGCTGGGAGGTGCACAGCAGGACCATCTAGCACTTCTTCCAGATGCTCAAAATGAGGGCCATGGATCTGAAACTTCAGATATGGAGGAATATGACGGAGAAGAACAATCTGATGCAGAGTAAGTTACTAATGACTGACCATAGTGTCAGTATGCTGTTAGAAATCACTACCCATGTTTTATATTTTTAGTTTTGTCTTTCAGCCTTGTTTTTCATTTCCTGATTGATTTTTGTCTTAATGCTTATATACATATTTGCTCGATTTCCATTCTCAAATTGGTTCTTTTAAATCTTTACAGGCGATACAGATTTGTATTCCGTATTGTTTTGCTCTTGGTAGTGGCTTGGATGACCTTACTCGTCTTCAATTCTGCATTAATTATTGTACCCGTATCTCTTGGAAGGGCTATCTTCAACTCCATCCCTCTTCTTCCTATAACGCATGGCATAAAGTGCAATGGTACTACTGTTAATTTGTTGTAATTTATAGTTTTTACTCTGATATTTTTTGAGGAAATGCTGTAAACACTTCCCTGATTATTATCTGCAGACCTGTATGCTTTCACCATTGGAAGCTATGTTATTTGGACTGCCATAGCTGGAGTCAGGTATACAATTGAGCAGGTCAAATCAAGGAGGGCAGCAGTTTTATTTGGCCAAATTTGGAAGTGGTGTGGAATTGCTCTTAAGAGTTTTGCACTTCTATCAATATGGGTAAGTTATATATTCTGTTTACCCAAATCTCTCCACCATGTAGAATATGGAAGAAGAGGAATTAAAAAAGGGTTACACTATTGTACACTTTTTTTTCCGTTTCTTTATCAACTTACCTTTTATCAGAATGATGATATATTAGTGGAATTAGGGGGTTGCTTTTATTGGGAGTTACCTGGTGGGAGCTGGAAGGTGTATTTTACCCCTTTCATCAGGGCACCTTTTATTGGAACGATTAATTAGATGCATCGATTTGCTGTTGAAAATCGGCAAGTCACAGTCGCAGCTAGTGTAATTCTATGATTGGCTGATTGCTTTCTAGCAGCGCCATGAGAAAAAGAAGGGGGTGTCTGTTAGAAATTGTAGGATCCTTAAGATATCCCTTTGCCTGTCTCACAACTAATTTCCAACATTTTTTACTTAAGACCAATGCAGAGAAGCACATATTGTGAACAACCTGAGTTTGAAAGTTTTTTTTTTTTTTATCATATTTTAAAGTAAAGACTTGATATATCTGAAAATGTTCCTGTGAGAGAGATATTGTTTGGCTGCTGGTCTATTTTAGTTTTATGCTTGTTCTTTATGACATCGTGATATATTTCCTATATTTAGTAAAACATTGTCCATATATTGTCCCTTAAATATTGACCCTTAATTGTTGTGCTGTCCAGATATTTGTAATTCCTGTCTTGATAGGACTGCTGTTCGAGCTTTTGGTGATTGTACCAATGCGAGTACCGGTAGATGAAAGCCCAGTTTTCCTCCTTTACCAAGATTGGGCCTTGGGACTGATATTTTTGAAGATATGGACACGATTGGTGAGTATCTGATCATTGTGGAATATGGATTGTAGTATGTGTTGCCTGTCTTATTTGGGTAATTTAACTGGATCTGTTCCAGAATGTACTTTCTAGATTGCTTTTTGGGCATAGAACTTATGCTTCCGTGCATTGACCCTCACTCGTTTTTCGGATGGTGCTGGATTGCTGATGTTTTGTACTTGTGTTTGGTTACTGGAAACACACTTGTATATTACTCTGACACAGATTCTGGTGGAAATACTGAAGTACTCTTTCTTCACGATGCATCTTCCATCTGCTACACGTGTTTCTTTTAACTCTGATTTGATTTTGTGTCATGGTGTCCCATAATGTGAAGTCCTAGTTAATGTTTGAAGTTGATTGCATGATTTTGACGTGCAACTCTAATTTGTTTCAAATTTATATTCCACAGGTCATGTTGGACCACATGATGCCCATGGTAGATGAGAGTTGGAGAGCTAAATTTGAGAGAGTTAGAGAAGATGGATTCTCTAGGCTGCAGGGTCTTTGGGTGCTGCGGGAGATAGTGCTACCTATAATACTAAAGCTGCTTACTGCTCTCTGCGTACCTTATGTTTTAGCTCGAGGAGTATTTCCCGTTTTTGGTTACCCCTTGATTGTCAACTCGGCCGTTTACCGGTTTGCTTGGTTGGGGTGCCTGTGCTTAAGCGTGTTATTTTTCTGTGCCAAGAGGTTCCATGTCTGGTTCACAAACTTGCACAATTCCATTCGTGATGACCGCTACCTTATCGGTCGCAGACTCCATAATTTTGGGGAAGCTGCCATAAGAAGGGCTGCTGAAGAAACAGAAGCTCTGAGTATGCAACGAAATGATGTAATTAGACAAGAAGATGTGGGTCTGAGATTAAGACGAGGCAACCAAGTTGATGCTTAGTTATAGATATGAATCTACGAGTCAATTTCCTGGCATGTAGTTCTATACCTGTTTCGGAAGAAGTCATGTGAGTTAAATGTAGATTGATTATTTAGTTTGTGCATATAACATGTAATAGTAAGAGAAGGAAGAGGAAATGTAATATTTTTTTGTCCTTTATTCCTAATAATTTTTCGTAGCTATCAGCTGACAGCGTAGAATTAAGGTTTAGTTCCTACACATTATACTGTCCTGTTTCTTGAAAGAGATAAAATCCAGTTGGATTTTAGCTTCAGATTCATTTAAGTGTTCAAAATTAACGATGGCAATGAGATTCAATAACTGGTTTTCATGAAGGTATCTTAATATTCCAACTAAACTTCAGTCATGTCGAATCAACGTGTTATACAATCGTCTCATGTCATTGAGTTTTCTTATTTCTTGGTTAGATTCTGATTTGGCTGGCTCACCATGGTAAATGTAGCGATTATGCTTATAGTTGGGACATGGGATGGAGGAAATACAAGTGAATGATTACCAGCTTTTAATCCAGTTAGCCACCATCTCCTCTCTTCACCCTTTAAAAGCCCTAGTTTTTCTTTGTTACAATTTTTTTTTTTGGAAATTAACTGGCTTTATTTTTATGTTCACATCAGCTATTCTTTCTTTTATTATTTTTGGGGTTTTACTACAAAGTACCAGTATACTTTATTTGATTTTTCAAGTTATATCTACTGTTTTTCCATATTACTTCGTACTACGTATATGGTACCCCTCAAGTAGAGTTATCAATCACGGCTAGGGTTTTCTCTCCTTTGCTTACTCTCTCTCCTTTCCTTTACCTTTGTGGTCTTAAAATTTTGAGATCCTTCATTGTTGTGGTCTCCAAAGCTCTCAAGCAAGTCTTATTCTCGCAATTTTTCTTCTAATTCATATTGTGACTTGGAGCCTCTTAGCCCACAATGTTATTGCAAGATGACTTAACTTGCTAAGTTGAAGATTAACAAAAGGAACATAAAACTAACAAGACTACTAAACGTCTAAGTTAACAAGGAAAGATCCTGTCAAAAAAAAAAAAAAAAATTAACAAGGAAAGAATGTACTTGTATTATTAATTGTACCTCCTTGAGAAGTTGAGAGGCACTATATATAATAGGGGTTTTCTAGAAATTTTATCTCACCTTGTGAAGGTTTGGGGTTATGTTCTTTTTAGTGTAGTAAATCAACTCCTACAAAAATTTACCATCATCAACCTCTAGTGTCCTTTCAAAACTACTAGCCATCTTTACTGCAGTATCTATTTCATAGTGTATATACACACCCAATTCTTTTTAGTTTGTAGAGCAGTTCTCACCATCTCTCTTTGCTCAGTTCAAGTTGTCAACTACAACTAGAGCAGTCAAAAGTTGACCCAACCCAAAATACCAACTCGATCCTGATTATTAACCGATCCATCTGAACCCGAAAAATGGTGACCCAAAACCGACCTGACCAGACCTAAAACTAACCCCAGACCCGTGTTGACCCAAGTATATGAGACCCGAACCCGAACATGAATTGACCTGAAGATGACCCGACCCGAATGTAACCCGTAAATTAACCTGACTTGAACCGAAATTGACCCAAACCTGTCAAAACCTGAATTTAACCCGACTTGTTACTAACCTGACCTGAATTCAACCCGACCCGTTCCTAACCCGACCCGAATTTAACCCAACCATTTACAAACTCGGCCCAAGATCAACCCGACTTGTTATTGACCTGACCCAAATTCAACCCGACTTGTTATTGACCCAATCCGAATTTTACCAGACCTATTACTAACCCGACCCAAAAATTCAACCCGATCTGTTACTAACCCGACTTGAAATCAACACGACTTGTTATTGACCCGACCTAAATTCAACCCAAATTGTTTCTGACCCGATTTCAAATCTCCTTAAATGCAATTTAGACCACCTTATTATTGTTGATCAAAGCATTTTGTCTAGGGAGACCAAGTCGGTCCAGGCCAGCAAAAGAAAGGAGCATCATCCTCAAATTTAAGAGTTAAATATAGTATATATATGTTGTATGGTCAAAGGAGGTAATTATCTTCCTAAATTATAAAGTATAGTTCTCTAGTATATTGTCGTATATATTATAGTCAAAGAAAATAATTAGCTTGATAAAAATGATAATTATCTATTTATAGTTGTTGAACCCGAATATGACCGGACTTGGAAATGACCTGACCTGATTGTAACCTGCAAATTATTGACTTGAACATAACCCGACTTGACTCCGAAAATGATCCGACTTGGAAATGACCCAACCTGATTATAGCCCAAAAATTATTGACTTGAACCGAACTCGACTTGAACCCGAGAATGACCCAACCTGATTATAACCCGCAAATTATTGAATTGAACTGAACCCGACTCAACCCAAGAATGACTCGACCTGATTCTAACCCTCGAATTATTGACTTGAACCGAACCCGACTCGAACCCGAGAATTAACCAAACCCGTTAAAACCCGAATTAAACCCACTTATTGTAATCTAGATTATAAAGTAACCAAAATATAATAATCGAAGGAAACTAAACTATTAAGAGTAAAAGTGGGAAAGAATAAAAGTAGGAGGAGAAACAATAAATAAAAGGCCTAGGGCATAGGTTCACCAATAAATAATATTCCAGGGTAAAACATAATAATCAATCATTAATGCATGCATTAATCAGATCATAAAGGGCTTTCGCTACGTATTACAATCACACAATTAATTTACCGGTATTAAATCTCATCTCTCGAATCTCGATTTAACCATTTATAAATTAACCTGCCTATTGAAACTAGACCTAAACATCAATTCTCATCTGTCGAATCTCGAATCAATATTGTTAAACTCATGCATAAAAGATCTGCGCAAATCTAGTCACAAAACATTAAATCAATCAATAGGAAATTAATCTAGCATTGACAATTAACAACAATAAATTATCCCTTCATATTATTTATGGATCCCCACAAACCCTAGAAATAAACTACTAGTGCATAATTAAAACTAAACTAATTAAAACAATTAAAGAAAGCATGATTAAAAGCAAAAAGTAAGAGAAAGAGATTAATAATATTAAAGTAATAAGAAAACAAAATAATAAATCTTGATATGAAAAGTAGAAAAGAAAAGAAAAGAAAAGAAAAAGAACTAAAACTAAACTAATAAAACTAGTAATTAAAAGCTAACTAAAACTAAACTACCACTTACCTCCCCCAACCTACGTACTACTACTCCTTTAAATAAGAAAGGAAAAAGGAGTTTGACTCCCAATCAACCTCTAACCCCTCATCCAAAGCAGCGTACTACGTCCACCCTAGTGGGCATATATAACAAAGTCCACTAATAGAAAAACTCCGGACAAACGGCAGCAATATCACGCAACAGTCACCCGATTCAGAATTGGGCATCAATCCGCTAGCAACGTTTGGGCTTCACTTCTTTGTCTGGACTTGTAACTTGGGCATTTATCTGAATTGACCAAAATTCCTTCCTCCTGGTATATGAGTATTGGACTTGCATTAAGTAAATACTCCAAACAAACTGAGCCCTTAATTATCAAACCAAATTTATTTAGCTCGACCTTGGGCTTTAAATATACGGTCATAAAATACGATCCGACTCAAATATCTTTGTAGTGGCTCAATAAGCTCGGGAATTATCATAAATCTGCAAATTCCTACAAAATGATACCAACTCTACAAAAACGCTAGAAAACTTATATTAGTAATAAAAATAGCTCCGTAGAGCTCAAATAAGCACAAATATGGCCATGGGACAGAGAATAAAAATATACATAATATAGACTTATCACCACGGTCCCTAGTACCCTCCGAGAGTCCAATTGGGTGGGTGGAATCATCTAATTTTCCTTTTAACGGTTAATTTACCGGTTTAGAACTTGCACTGATTTCATTAACTCAAGACTACCACGAACATTTATAACAACAAATAATGATCATTTACGGTTTAAAACAGTATTATATGACCCCGAGATGGATCCCCTAAAATCTCAAAACTTTTCAACACCCGGCCCCGAAACCTCAAAAAAATTTCATAAAGCGTGGATATAAGCCTGCAATTTTGGAATTCTTTTCTCCCAAAAATAAAAATTGCCGAAATGTTTACCATAGTTCCTAATACCCTCCGGTATTCCAATTAGGTGGGTGGAATCATCCAATTTGCATTTAAACAACCAATTTACCAGTTTATAATTTGCTCTTATTTCATTAACTCAAGCCTACCAAGAACATTTATGACAATATATAAAGGTCATTTATGGTTTCAAACGTCATTATATGACCCCGAAATGCATATAATAAAATCTCATTTCTTTTCGACACCTGGCCCCGAAACCTTCAAAATTTCTCAAAAAGCGTGGATATTAGCCTTCAAATTAAGAGTATTTTGACTTTTTTTCGCCCGAAAGTAAAAAAATTTCCGAAATGATTATCATGGTCACTAATACCCTCTGGGGCCCCAATTGGGTGGGTGAAACCATCTAATTTGCTTTTAAACGGCCAATTTACCGATTTACAACTTGCACCGATTTCATTAATTCAAGCCTACCACGAACATTTATGACACCTTATAATGATCATGTATGGTTCCAAACGACATTATATGATCCCGAGACGTATCTCATTAATTCTCAAGCCTTTTCGACACCTGGCCCAGAAACCTCCAAAATTTCTCAAAAAACGTGGATATTAGTCTTCAGTTTTGGAATTTTTTGACTTTTTTCGCCCGGAAATTAAATTGCCAAAATAATGACCATTGTCCCTAATACCCTCCGAGAGTCCAATTGGGTGGGTGGAACCACCTAATTTGCCATTAAACGGCCAATTTACCGGTTTACAATTTGCACCGATTTCATTAACTCAAGACTACCACGAATATTTATAACAACATATATGATAATTTATGGTTTAAAACAGTATTGTAAGACCCCGAGATGAATGCCCTAAAATCTCAAAACTTTTCAACACCAGACCCCGAAACCTCAAAAAAATTTCAAAAAGCGTGGATATTAGCCTTCAATTTTGGAATTTTTTAAAAAAATTTCGCTCGAAAATAAAAATTGTCAAAATGTTAACCATATTTCCTAATACCCTCCGGTATTCGAATTAGATGGGTGGAACCATCCAATTTGCATTTAAACAACCAATTAACTAGTTTATAACTTGCACTTATTTCATTAACTCTAGCCTACCACGAACATTTATGACAACATATAATGGTCATTTATGGTTTTAAACATAATTATATGACCACGAAATGCATCTAATAAAATCTCATTCCTTTTCGACACCTGACCCTG